GCGCTCTTCATGAGGCAATGCATGCTTTATAAAGCGGTATAATCATACTACCTGCCATTCAAAACCTAATGCACCCAAAGCAGCAATTTAACCCCCCAGACCGTAGAAATCCGTAGTAAAAGACTTGCCGTATAGGGAAGAGATCTTACCTTCTAAGGTAGGCGGAGGGTGTTGGCACGAGCAAAGGCTGGTGTGAAAAGCTGGTGGTAGCGCCTCTCTAGTCCCTATATTGACATTCTTGAAAATCGTGATACATTGTTGGTTGGAATTAAAGAATATATGATACGTGGGACGCTGATAAGAGTGCGCCTTTCTGATCAAAACCCCTACCATCACTTTTACTTTACCCACAGAATCACCTGCCATTTACCCCGCAAATAGCCCGTTAGAGTATAGACTCAGCCATTATGCTATTGGAGACTCTAACTACCTAGTTGGTGGATATTTCCTAACCGCGCTCAAATCCCTATTTTTGCCTTTCCTTGATGCTTCTCCTCCTCCAAAACCCACAGCTGCTGCCCTAGTGTGATGCGAACAAATGCGTGAGATCCAAGACGCACACAACTTACAGTAGGCCCTCCCACCACTTACAAACATGTTGTCGACTAAAGTAGTCTATTAACCTCAAAGGTTCATTTTGTTAATGCCGACTGCTCAAAGATCGTAACTCAGGCAGCCCAAGAACGGCCCGTCAGATACTCCAATTTTGTGAGCGAGTTTAGCCGCAGGTCGTGAGGGTCCTGAAGCCGGCAGTTGCTCTTCTCATCGTACAACACAGTGTCTAACCCGGCAGCCCGTGCTGGTTCAATGTCGCGCTGTTGGCTATCCCCAACGTATACCATATTAGATGGGTCGATGCTGTGCTTTTCTAGGACAGCGGAAAACAAACCATCCACCTTGGACACTCCGACCTCATTGGTAGTTACGAGTGTATCGATGAATGGCTGTAACCCAAGCTCCGACACCGTCCATTTTTGTGCATCTTGTGGCCCCTCGGTGACGATGATAACCTTCTTACCATGAGACTTGAGCTTCTGTAGGAGACGAAGTGCCCCGGCCTTCAGTGTCAGGGCGGCGCGGAGACTGCTCTTGTATACCGCCAACAGTTCTTCCACTTCTACCGGAGAAGGCTTATGCCCGTGGGCTGCTAGCAGACGTCTAAATCTGTCGCTGCGATAATCTTCGGATGATTTCCCATCTGTGAACGCATTTGCAGTGTTTGAACGAAGGATCTCACGATACGTGGCCTGGAGATCGTCGATCGTGTTGTTGACCTCGGGATGGTTGGCTCGAAATGCTGCGAAGACAGAATGGGAGGCATGGGCAGACGCTTTGCGAAACTCGTGCAGCGTATCGTCTAGATCGAAGCCAAACCACGTCTTTCCAGAGAGAAGACTTGATATGGAATCTAGCTGTGGGCCATAGGCCTCGAGGTATAGGCCACCTACTTCGGCTTCGATATGTTCAAGTTCAAGTGCGGATAGCAGCCCGTGACCGTGGAAGTCCTCAACGTGGGTGTGAGACTTGACGCGATTGAAGAGGCCGTCAGGAACGGCACCCTGATAGATTGATTGCTCTCGGTAACCGTTGAATAGGTAATCTCCGAAAGGTTTGCTAAACTCTAAACAGATATCATCGTATTCAACGCCCCAGTATTTTGCCAGTGTGGTTACTGTGTCCCTAGGATTGGCCACCAATTGTTCATACAGGACAACCTGAGGTGTTGGGCTGGCCGTGAGCATTTTGAAGAGTGACCGATAACAAATGAAGAAGCTGTATAGATCACACCAGCCCATATATTTCCAACTATCAAATACTCGGACAGGATCCCGGACGACAAACGCGGGCCGCGTTTTCTCGTAGGCGTCTCGATTTGGAAGTACGTTGAAGTCACATTCACCCTTGAAAAATTCGTGACCCAATTCCTCTTTGGTTACTAGTGTGGTAAAGCCTTCCGACACCGCTTTTTGATAGACCGGGTGAGCTTCAGGATGAGAGAAAATAGTATAGTCTGGCTTGATTCGAGCTGAAGTCTGGTCGCTGAATTTGTGATGGTTTCCTTGCAAAATCAAGCGACTCGTAACTGCACAGCGAGGGAGTTCGCGAAAGATTCGCATGAAGAGTGTGGAACCCGAACGTGGGCAGGCAACTAGAACCCGGATCTGGGTTTCCTTCTGAACTGGCAATTAGTATGGTCTCTGAAACAAACGTACATGGTATACGTACTCCTTGAGCGCCGTTCGTCATGTCGGCACTGGTTTCCATTCGCTCCCGAGAGGCTTCTGAATGAGGCATTATTTTATCCTTTTACTTTGTCACAATCGATGATGAGAAGATGCGTGGGCGCTGGGTAGCAACAATTCAATTGGCACTCATCGTCTTTAAGTGGTTCGACAATTCCATATTTGCCCGTTCAAGCTCCGGTTCATCGCTCAGTGGAAAGCAGGGGTCCAGCCGTCTGCCTCGACTGATCGGCAATCCTCAGGAATATGACGAGATCGCTTATTCTAATGGCGTTATTTCCAGTCTTTGCTTCTCCTTTGCTGCTAGCATGAGTTTGAGACCTGCTGCAGTAGATGCTTATGTTAGGTTTCACCCTCTTTCAGGTTCTAGATTGGTATCGCCGAACCCCCCCCTCTCCATATACGCCCTGCCACTCAAGTATCCCATATTGGGATTGGCTGGGACCGTGCCGCTCCGCCCGCGGGCCCTCCCGCGCACACAGGCGTAGTCTGTTGCAAACCCTCAAGGATAATTGCGCAATTGTCAGTTCACAGATCTGAAGAGTGAGGCAATGGGGCACACGAGCAGTTACCTTTCCAGGGTCGAAGGTCTGCGTAATCTCGTACTTGAGGCAAGGCTGAGATAGCCTGATGAGTTGAGCATATAACCTCACTCGACCGCCAAGTGTTGAGCGCCGAAGTCGGAACCTGGCTGAGACCTGGGACCTGTCCCTATTTACTGTAACCCCATCCTGCACACCTAATAATCCGCCTCTAGCTGTTGTCGATATGGGAATCCCAAGCCTTTGCCAGGTTAGCGATCCCTTCTTTGGCCTCGCGGTAGCAAGCCAATGCCGATCATTCGATTTTACCTTGCTTTTCGAGGATGTCTTTCTTGCTTGTATTCCTTCTTTCATCTTTCTCATCTTAAGCATCATCTGGGCGTTGCAGTTGTATCGAAAACCGATCATACGTCCCACAGCGTATAGAATTGCCTACTTTTCGGTCAGTCGCGCAATTGCGACCTAGCGATATAGCCTCCCTTGATAACAAGCTGCTGACATTGTATCTCACTCTATTTGCAATCGAGGTTGCTCTGCTCGTGTTCCGTTTACGGATAGGCGTTTCAAGACCTCGGCGAGCTTAGCTGCCCTATTATTGCGAACCTCTGGAACTTGTGTAGCATTGTGTCTATCACACTTGGAGTATAATCGGACACTGCGGCCACCACTTCTAATTAACATCTATCTTTTTCTGGTGGTGATATTCGATGGTGTTTTTATCCGTTCGTTCTGATTGGCATCTAATCCGTCGAGCGTAACAGCCCTATGCAGTACTGTGCTAGCCATTCACTTTATTTTGCTTATCTCAGAATCCTTGAAAAAGGTCGACTCACTCGTAGCATCAAGACATCGACAGACAAGCCTCGAGACAAGTGGTATTTCGAGTTTGGGAGTGTTAACATGGGTTCTTCCGGTATTGCAGCAAGGGTTTACCCGTCCGTTGGGCTTACCAGATATCCCCCGTTGCTCTGGAGTTAACGAGCTTGCGGCTAAAGAAGCAGTTACAGATATCTTGGGAAAGATGTATGTTTACCAACTGGGTCCCTCATCGCCTCTGCACTCGTTACGACCATCAAAGCTAATGATCCTGTTTAGTAACCGATCAATCCAAAGGAAGTCAATTACCGATCACACTCTTACGGACGTACAAGATGGCCTTTATCAGTGCAGTCATCCCTCGACTTTGCCTTTCGGCGTTTACCATTAACGTAACTCCCGGCCGCATCGGCCACCCGCCCGTGCCGGCCACCCACTACACCGCACAACACGATTCTACATGTAAACGCTCCTTCTATCAAACGCAGTGAATCAAAAATGAGTAGTACAATGATTCTAGGGCGGTGTGGTAGAGGTGGCCGATGCGGCCGGCAGTTACGTTAAGTAATTTCCAGTACGACTCAAGAGAGTATTAGGATTATGAAATGTTTGAACATCGAACTGAAAGAGGATAGCCAAACACTATAATCAACGGTCTATAACGTAATAGAAAAAAGTACATATTCCGCTGGAAGGGTTACACAGTCAGCTTATATGAGAGATAATATTGATGATATCGTTGAGCAAGGCCCTCTATTAGGTGAAACTTATATCCAAGGCGGAGCAGAGAGGCAGTATCCCCCATCACCCGCTCGCTGTGAACAAAAAGCTTTGTAAAGGAATATGAACAGCTTGAGGATTACTAGATCAGCTCGATACTCATAGAGGTAAGAGCCAAGTCAAATAGTAAGCAATATGGAGCTAGCTATGTATCACCTACTGTCAAAGACATGGTGCCTGGTTTAGTCATGAATGCCTCAGGCAGCAGTACATATGAGATCGTTCAATGCCCCATTTATTTCACATGGGGGGTTATGTCAGAGAAAAAAGAATTATTGAACCCCTCCAGGTTTGCTTCATACAACATAATTCTTGTACAGTGTGGCTGCCACCCGCTTGATTACATTGCTGGCAATGGGATTAACTATCACTCACTGTGTAAGCAAATGCAGACACACCTCCAGAGACAGGTAGCTATTGCAGTGACAAATTGTGCTTTGTAGTTGTTTGTTAGCAATATATATAGTGCGCAATGTGGCTTATAAATATGAGCCTCCAAACGCTAATCACATGGTGTATTGGTTTAAAAGTGGGTGCATGTACTCATTTCTCGAGTCTATGTGTCTCAGAAGACTAGCTCACTAACCATAGCTTGTCAATTCGCCTTGACCCTTATCCTCTAAATCCCCCAGTACTCTGAAGTATAATGTCCATGTGTCCGAACACTGGTATTATACCTCGTAGCTTCAGTATCGATCACATACTCCGCACTTACCACCGACCTGTTCAGCTGCATGACCTCTCCAACTGTAGTATTAGCTACAACCCAGTTCATCCAGAGCGTATGGTTCAGCATCGTCGTGCTTCCCGCATCCCCGTCATAATCTGGGATATCAGCTCCGGGCTGCAATGGACCAGCTTCATCAAGGATGGACTGAGGCGCCGTGTTATTGCCGCCCATGTCGTACAGGCGATGCGGGTAGTCGGCCAATTGCCACTCCCACCACACCTTGTCCAGATAGGTGTGATGCATAGAGAACAGGGGATCGTTGCAGCTGTCGATGGGGTCGAACATCAATCCGCCGACGCCGCCATGGCCGCCACCGTGGGGATTGCCGTTATAACATTGCCTAGAAATTGTTGAAAACGGCGCAGGGGCCGAGGATCCAAAATAAACACCAGGCATCCGTGTAGTTCGCATAGCTAAAACAAGTCTCCACATTATGTGCAGCTTCTTTAGATATTTCCTAGACTACTAGGGCGGTGTGAGAGCGTAAAATATCTATAAGCAATCGAAGAAGAGCAGTGGCTCGGGTTACATAACAGTTCTTGTCTGAGTTTTCCATCCCCCTACAGCCTAATTGATACTAACATTCCAGGCCGCACTTCCCTCTACTTTCTATAACTGCGATATTCCGCTTAACATTGAAATATGGCCTTTGGCTGTGTACGCCCTAGGGATGGGTAATGTCTATAAATGCAAGAAAAAAAGGATAAGTCCCTCTGTCTCTGTAAGAGGAATTAAGGATTAGCTCACTATATAAAAATTAGAAACCCAGTCTCCAGAGAATAATATCATAGTAGGCTGCTGGTGTAAGTTACTGGGAGGCTGCTGTAATGGAATAGCTAAACTATCGCGGTCAAGACCGTCGGGATGACGTTTTATGGTGGCTATGGGAGTCGTGTGGTCATCGATAGCGGTTCTATACCCTTCCGGTATTTATAAGACATTGAATCTTAGACACTGAGCTACTGATCCCTCAAGGATCAGTCTATTCTGTAGATATAAGCTACCTTTATCTTCATTAAATCAACCTATAGTGTTTGGTGACCAGTTCCTTACCTGGTTAACAGGCTTTCTACCCTGACAGATAGATCCTATCACATCTGCAGCCAATTATAAATGATATATTATAGTTTATAATAATTATTAATGATTACAAAAAAAGTTACTACAAGTCATTTGTCTTTATATCCATATCTCTCGTGATATTTGGGTATAGAGATAAAATAAGTTTCAAGATGTATATACTAATCATTGTATAAGAAAAAAATAAATAAATCGAAAAATAATAATAATTATAAATTTCATATTCATTAAACCTGAGTAACTACATACTACTATCATATAATTATTAATGATTTCAGATAAATTTCAATAGCTTGTTCGCGAGGCTAGGTGATTATTATACTAGCCTTATCACGCACCCCCTCGGGCGTCTAAGATATCATCTGTTTCATACTTCATGAGGATGGTGAGTCAATCGCAGTGGCATCTTAACTCAATATATAGTATATACTGATTCTCTCCCACTAAGATACGGGCTATACGATGGTAGTCATGGACTGAAACAACTGGTATGACAATCAAAGGAATGGGAAGCAAAGCAGGGGAGACTACCAAAAGGAAAGAAGGCAAGGAAAGGCAAGAGAGGTCTGGTTTCAACAACAGTAGTACGAGATTGACCAACAGTTAATAAGAGGTATCTACTATTGCAGAGCATGATTTGGGAATACGAATAATCACAATCCACTCATATACATCATCGGGTTACCCAGATTGTTTCTATTGAAGCTACTAGTATAGTGACTTGCAGGACTATGTTACCTACCGATCACTTGGCGGATGCCCTGGCGTTCTGGGCAAAGGATGTGCACGGTGACACCAACTACCTCACCACCTGGTAGACTAATGGTTCCATTTGAACGAAAGAAGTCCCTTATTGCTGCAAATGAGCAGAACGGGTTGATAAGTATGTTGGTTACCCGAAAGGTTCATCGGACATTCCACGAAATCGGATTACCGAACTGCAACCCACTCAAACGGGTAAGAGAGTGAGTCGGCATTGTGCGTCCTGCGCTTCTTACCCGTGCGTTAGAATTAATGTATTCTTTATTTGGTTCCCTGCATCTCACATGTATCCGATCAAGTGAGGCAGCATGAACATGCACTACTTGGTTTGGGGATATGGACGGATTGACATAACATTTAAGCCATGTTTAACGACGGTTGTCGCATCTTTGTCAGTTCCTACAGGCGCGACCATTCGACAAGTATTAACATTCGGCTATTACTATCAAAGGTCAGGAAAACCTATTGGCAGAGTGATCTTTTGAGTGCCCATCATGCTTTCCATGCGACCAAATATACCTCAACTGTCGGAGCAGCAGGTCCAAGTGACCTACCACCAAGAGGCTACTGCTCTTCTAGAATATCTTGGACAAGCCCAGCATCCTGACTATGGATTCGGTGCAGTGTCAGGTAGCATCTACGATACCGCTTGGGTGTCAATGGTGGAGAAACCGTTGACAGGTAGTAAGACGGCTTGGGCTTTCATTGAATGTTTTGAGTTTCTATTAAAGGCCCAGTGTGAGGATGGCGGATGGGATACAGATGCGGTTCTTTTTGACCGTATTGCCTGTACACTTGCTGGCCTCCTCGCGCTCAAAAAACATCTAAACCAGGAGAAGGATAACATGACCCGTGAAGCCTTGGACAATAGAGTATCTAGAGCTACACACTTTCTCCGTCAAGCTCTTCCCAAATTGCCAGCTGCAGTCGCATACGAGCTGCCGATCGGCGCTGAACTCTGGCTACCAAAGATGTTGGAGCTTATTGAGGAGGAAGACATCCATCTCGACAATGAATGCGTGCTCGCTTGGATTTTGCCAGCTAGGGACAAAAGGATTTCCCGATTTTCAATCGAAACCTTCTATGAAAGGGGATTTACTTCCGTTGCACACTCCCTGGAGGGGCTTATTGGGTACGCAGACTTTAGCCGGGTCTCTAGGCTCAAATCATGTGGCAGCATGATGGGCTCTCCGTCTGCAACAGCGGCATATCTCATTTACAGCGAGACTTGGGATGCAGATGCCGAGGCATATATCCGCCGCGCGCTTAATTCTCCGTATGCGGGTCAGAATGGCGGCGTGCCTTCAACATATCCGACGACTGCCTTTGAAGCCTCATGGGTTCGTGGAAATTTTCCTTTCTCATTTCTATGTTCTCAGTCATCTTCCACATTCCTTGCTTCTTCGACTATCCCTTCATGACGAACTACAGGTTTGTTGATTACTGATGTCAATTTTCGCGCGAGCAGATAGCCGTCACTCTTTTGAAAAACAAGGTCCCTCTTGGAAAGGAAACAGTGCCATTGGTGAACAATATTGGCCTTACAGTGAATAATATCTTAGAAGCACAGGATGGTGTAGTCGGATTTGGTGAGTAATGTCTATGTTCCTGGATTAACTAACAGACAATAGAATGACGCTGACTGCTAACTGCTAACTCTTCTAGCACCGGGAATGTGCGTGGACGCCGATGACACCGCGAAAGCATTATTGCTCTTGAGACTGTTGGGATTACAAGCATGTCCAGATTCCCTAATCGGCAAATTCGAATCACACGATCATTTTCTGACCTTTGGAATCGAGCGAAACCCAAGCATCAGCACTAACGCTCATATCCTACTGGCCCTCCTTCACATGGAAAATAATAGCACATACATTTTCCAGATAGAAAAGTGTGTTCGGTTCTTGTGTCGTGCGTGGTGGGAGTCGGATGGCTTTCTTCAAGATAAATGGGTAAAAAATTGGTTCAAAAACAATATGTTGGGCTCGAGAGAACAGACTTTAACACTTAATATAGAATATATCGCCCTACTATCCCGTTATGTTGATATGTGAAGGGATGGTGGACTATATACATAAATGGGACAGTGGCGATTTTGCTACATCCAATAGCACTGGCCTAGATCCCCGAGTGCCGCTGGTTGTTCACCAAGCGTTGACTAAGCTCCTCCAAACCCAAAATGCTGATGGATCCTGGGGACCGCGATCCAGCCTTGAAGAGACGTCGTATGCAACATTGGCCATAAAGAGTCTCCTGACACTACCGTTCACAGCTGAGCTGCGAGATGCCTCCCTCACTGCTATTGAACAAGCAGAGTCGTACCTACGATACACATACAGTCGTGGTTACATTTCGGTCAGAGAACGGCTCTGGATTGACAAAACCCTTTACAGCATTGAAACAGTTTCAAGGTCTTATATCATCTCCGCGATGCTAGCGCCGACGCACAACATCCAAGCCAGTGAAACTTTGGGCGGTCTCTTCAACACCCCAAGATCTGTCATCCAGAAGCAAGGAAACTTTCTACGAAGCCTCCCGTCCTTTTCTCACATCCCGAGTTGGGTAGTCAAGGCTTCCGTATGCGAGGGCTACATGATGATCGATGAGCTACGCAAAATTGACTTTTTTCTACAACGGGCCAAACTCAGCGAGGAATACCTCCTCTACTATGCGTCTTGTTTCGTGGCGAGCAACAACAAAGGTCCATACTTCCTGAGTACAAGCTATCTCTTGATGGTACTTCGGATCACAGTAGCGACATACCAGCTTGACACGTTCGTGGACCACCAGGTGATTAACTTCTCATCGTTAGAGCTAGACGAATTAGAGGATTTCATACAGAAGAAATTGCATAGCGGGAGGTGTTTGTCCACTGGACCCGATGCAACCCACGAACGCAGTGAGTGCGAAAGAGAACCGCACGCAAGAGTCGAGGAAGCAAAGGCAATGCTTTTGTCCTTTATGAACTTTGTGCTCACTGATACCACTGGTCCCGTGAGCACTTACAATAGTTTGAACCTGCGCAGTGAGCTGAAATTTGCCTTACTCGCCCAGATTGGTCATATCAGAAGTTCCAAGGGCCTAGCGCATGGGGTAGAGGACCTCGTCCATGACCAAACCGGAAAGACAACCTTCTTTTCATGGCTACGCGGGCCTGCCTCAGACAATGCCCTCTACCCTGTCATCCTCAAATACATGATTTTCCATATGGGAACGGGTGAAGTGCACCAAGGCGATGATGTGTTTCGTACCCCGGAAGAACAATACATCGTTGAGGATTTCTGCAGGCATGCTGCTGCTGAGGTCCGGCTCTGGAATGATTATGGCAGCATTGAGAGAGATAAAGCTGAGGGCGTATTGAATTCAATCGATCTCTTGAACTTATCATCTTCACGCCCTCCAGCTAACGGGATCACGGGCGACACATTAAACAGGAATTGCGAGATCAAATCTCTCAAAAAGATAGCACAGTACGAAAGCAGACATGTTCGACTTTGTTTGGAGCAGTTGGACACGCTGTTGAATGAAAATGATGCACAACGAGCGTCTTATATAATGTCACGGCTCCACATGCATGCGACAGTGACTCAAGTGTGGGCAGAGATGTACTCCTCACGCCGGTTCAGTGCGGCGAGTCCTCAGTCTTGATGCTAAATATGGGGACCACCGGAATTGAAGTGCTCCCCCCCACCCCCAAATGGCCAGGATCGAGTGGAGGTGGAAGCGCTTGATCTTGACTATCAAGACTATAAGGTGGATTTGAATTTATGGCGTAGAGTTGTGCAACTAACAGCACCTGAAATTGGGTGTGAGGGCAAACTTATCCTACGTTTTATTCTTCAACGAGCGGACCATGAGCGTGAAACCTCAGCTGCTGCTGAATCAGACTCCATACCCATTTAAAGGAGACCCTGTCGACCGTCAGGGATGATTTAGCATATCCAACATGTTTCCCAGTTCATACCCTTCGAATAGTTACATCCAAATCTAGATACTATGTTTGACAGGACACTCACTCTGGAAGTCTAGAATGATCGAGCTTGTCATCACGCCATTCGCCAAATTATAGTGTTAAGAATAGATAAGAAGAATGAGTCAACAAAGAATCATTTAGTCGTCTGTCTTCCTTAACGCCATCGGAAATATTCCTTCTAATAAGCCTGCACCGGATGACCAGGGCCAGTCATCCAGTAAGTCTGAAGGCAATTCGAAATAAGCTAGTGGGTCATCAAAGTCAGCTGGCTGGCCTGAGGTAGGTCGTATGTAGCCTTCGAAGTGTTGTGATTGATCAATTTCTGGCTGCTCAGAGCGCATATTGGCATGCCGAGTCGTATCCATGTAGTCGTCTATCCGCTTAACCTGTGATCTGAGTCGTTCACTGGCGCCAGTGGAGCGGGTGAGTCCGGACTCCAATTGAGACAAAAGTGTTGCCATGTCTAATCTTCTTGTGAATCAGAACAGTTGTACATGAACCTGGCACACTATTCTGTTAGGTGCTTACAGAAGTTTGCGAACTCTTTGGTAAGACATCTCGGAGAGGCTTCCTTCCATGACAGATCCAAGAATGAATCCAATCCCTCCCAAATGGTAGAGCTTCAATAATTAGTGCTCGTCTATCTACTGTGACGGGAAGGGAGAGGTATGTGAGTATGCCATGGGACTAACGTACCAGGGGAGAACTGATTGCTTTGAGATATTCAATTGGCACTGTGCTAAAGACGCTGAGCACGTTCCCCGCAACCTCGCATTTCTCCTCCACACCTTGATCCTCACTTGAAGAAAGGACCATGCTAAGAAGCTGGAGCGTTGCTTGGATGTTAGCAGACTGGAATCCAACAATATCATGCTCAGGATCACCGGTAGCGGGCTTAGTTGATTGAAGCTGCGACGGTAACGCCGAGAAGAGGGAATGCACATGCTCCATAATCAATGGGCCCGGGACAGGGGTCGGGCGAAATAACGACCAGGGGCTCTCATTCGCGGCGCGCTGCATTTGCCGCTGGCCGTCAATAGCATGCTCCAGTATTCGATAGAGGTCAGTGGTAAAATTCCACCCTCGCATCCAAACCGATGGTTCATGTGTGGTACATTCCGCCGATATCGGTGCTTCTATCGCGGAATCAAGCACATCGTCATTTACCTCTCTGGGGTAGCGTACATTTGACTGAACTTCTCTGAAACGAATTGTGCCTCCCAATACGGTCGCCGAAAACACATCTAGCGTATACATTGACCAAAACTACTTCCGGCATTAGTTTGTCACTGCTAAACGGTATCGCCTAGGCACGGGGGCGTACCAGCCTCCGTCGAACTTCCACGTCCACGACACTCAAGTCTCTTGGCCATAACTTCTCATCATGTAGCCCTTCCATAATGCTTAATGTGTGATACATGCCTAAATATTGATGCATATCCCGGATCTGGCCATTCTGGATGGCGGCAATGCTGAGAATCGCACATGCCCTCATGTATTCGATGCCCCTTGCTGCGGCCAGGTCCCGAGGGATAGACTCCTTAGCTGCAGTCCAAAAGACCTCTGGTGGCGGATGTGACAACTGTGGTCGTGATCGCTGGTTCGAATATAGACCGCCATCCCTGGCGCGTGCGGAGGCTAAGGCACACATTGCCATTGTTGAGGCGAACAACCCCTGGTCCTTAAGATGTTTTCCATCGCGGAGGACTCTCAAGAACGATGGTGGATGAAATAGAGGAAATCTGCACGATAGAAGGCGGTTAGTCCAAGAGCAAGTATATTAAAATCAACCCTCACGAGACATAAAATGAGAGAAGTACATCGGATAAACGATCTCAAAATACACCTGGGCAAGATCCTGCACCACGGAATGACAGGCGACTGCCAGTGCCTTCCAGGGAGTCAACGGTGAATCGGAGCTACAGTGCGGATCCGTGATTGCCCAGGAATTATTATCAGCATCTGTCGATAATTGAGCAGTCACACCAACTTGAAGATCATCTGCCGAATGGGCTGGTCGAGAGGGGATAGTAGTAGCGACAACGTCGCCACCCGGTCGGTATGCAGGCTCCTGTTCCCCTTGGCGGGCTCCTCTTCGACCACCTCTTTTCCGTAACGGACGATCATATGTACAGGGGATATCGAAATCCACGCAGTTTTGACAGGGTTCGAGTGGGCCTTGGGTCTTCGTGCATTTGATGCTACGTCGATGGCAAAGGTCACCTGGGTGCTATTAGAGCCGGGGCCTAAGGGGACAACGAGGGTGTAACATACAGGCCCTTGAAATACGCTGGATTTTTCGGGGACGATGGGGCATTTGGACTACTTTCACACGTCGGAGACCGGGGGGAGGAGCTTGTCTCCTGATACTATGCGGGTATATGGATATATATCTACACAGTCCACCTTCAAGACTTGCTGATTCAGCCGAAAGTTGCCGAAGGCCGCAATGTGATTATGTCATGTTGGTTCCCGGCGCCCCACACAGTTAGAGTTTGAGCCAGCCAGAAGAGGATTCACATCCCCTTTTTAAACCTACTACTCTAACCACTCCTTAAATTTATTAAGGTTGAATGTCACTATGTACGTCTACAAAGTGTGCGCTTAAGTCTTAGTCTAATGATCTTCTTTCATTATATGTTTAAATCTTTCACCATTTGTTGTTGAACTCCTTGCCGTTCACATAGTTTACCAGCTCAGATACTGCAGGCAGGTGGTGCCTATCCCCTCCGAATTGCATACCCTGCTGCATCACCCTACGATAGTTCTTGCCTGGTGATACCTTTCCCAGGACATATGGCTGCCGCGTCTCAACCCGAGTGGGCACCGGGATAGACCGGCCCACTACTGCTTCCATGCCCTGCCATGCGAAGGTGATAGCTTCCTTGGCAGAAGCCGGGATACCTGCTTGGTCCAGCATCAGAATCTTCGTGCTGGGGTAATGTGCTTGTATGTATTGCGTAATATTTGGATTGTAAGCACCGCCGCCGCACATGAAAATTTCGTCGATTGGAAGGTCCTTGGGGGCATAGCGGCGGTAATGGTCGACGATGGCCTGAGCGGTGATCCGAGTGACGGTAGCAACGACATCATCTGGACTAAGACCTTTAGATTCCGCCTTCCGAATGAGATCAAAAGCGAGAGTATCTCGAAACACCTCGCGGCCCGTGGTTTTCGGTGGATCCAATTGGAAGTATGGATGGTTTTGAAGAAAGTCATCTACCAGATCCTGGTCCACCGTACCGCGAGCGCCCATCTCGCCGTCCTTGTCATACTCCTGCTTGCCATTGGTGTAGTGTCGGACAACGGCATCTATAAAGACATTCCCTGGGCCTGTGTCAAAATCGTAGCAGGCATCCGTGCCCCCCAGGGAATCAGGCGGGATGAAACAGACATTAGCAATTCCGCCAATGTTTTGACAAGCGCGCAACTTTGTCGGATGGTGCAGCAGCAAGGCATCAAAGAAAGCAATCAGTGGTGCTCCCTGGCGACCCGCTGCTTGGTCGCTAACCCGGAAGTCGGTCACAGTCGTGATTCCCGTGCGAGAGGCAATGAATGAGCCCTCAGCCATGGTGAGAGCACTGCGGACCTCTCCCTCCTCAGGCATAGACAGAAGCCAGATGGTTTGACCGTGGGAGCCAATGACGTCGATGGACGAGATATCAACATCATACTGTCCACAGAACTCCTTGACAGCCGCGGCAAATGTCTCACCGAGAATGACATTCACCTCGGATAGCTCGGACGGAGATGTTTTATTGTGCAGAATGATATTCATGACTCGTTTCTTGATTGTTTGTTCTAGGGGAATTTCACCATACTATTGGAAAGACACGTGTGTTAGACTGAACGGGATTTGCGCAACATGTGACAATAGCATACCTTGAGAAGCTCGAACCTCATGGGTGAATCTGGCGTTTCCTGTCGAAAACGACAGAGAGCACAGTCGATCCCATCCTAGCGTTACATAGATAAGCTCTCACAGCCCCCCTAAATCCTCGCTTGTCCAGCTCGTCTGCTTACCATCGAAGTGCCACTATTGAGTCCCAGGACGGTTAGGTCCAGGGAGCGGGATACAGAAGCGCTAGGGTCCATATTGAAAGGCAGAGAGAACTCGGAGCAACTGGCTGTCCATTTGAGATACCGAGGAGAGGGGGGATGTTGCGGGGAATAAATAACATGCGTCGCTGCCGTACTACTTCAACCCCCCGGCCGCATTGATGCCTGAATGCCTCATGGTACGGGAGACGACGGACGGTTGTGGTTGTTGACCGCCTAATCGCCAGAACTCTTGAATGGTTAAACGCTTAAATGTCTAAACGCTTAAACTGCTAAACGGCGCCACTCACAAACCCTGGCTCGAACGGGTGATACTCTTGCGGGGCCCCTCAAAATGTTCTCTCCACAGCAGTTTTGTTTGCCCCAAGGCTTCGGTTCTCGCTAGTTTATTTCGGGCGAATTCGGCATGTCATTTCTCAGGTTGGTGAAGCAAGGGATAAGCGTCTCAAGATCCGGTCATGAAATAGGCCGCGTTATAAATAGTTCAACCACTACCGGTTGCGCAACTGTTCGCACTAAGGAATTGAAACTACAGCTGATAAACTCATTAGTTTCATTCAGTGAGTTTCAGCGAGACCCGCGAATATGGGGTATGCAACGTTTTGGAGGCGGTTATCCCCACGCCAACTCAATGTTATGATTCAGGCTCTTTCTCTCGTTTGCATATTCTTCGAGGGATATGATCAAGGTGTCATGGGAGGTGTCAACAGCTCTCCCAGATACGTTACAGAGGTTGGAATTGGCGAACCGGATGGCACCGTAACCGACACTACCCATCAAGGAGGCATTGTCAGCATCTACTACCTTGGATGCATTTTCGGTTGTTTCGGAGGTGGTTGGCTGGCCGATCGCTTAGGCCGTATCAATGGCCTGCTTGCCGGTTCGTTGCTTGCGCTTGTGGGGGGTGCTTTGCAAGCTGCGGCTCAGAGTTCAGATTTCATGCTCGTCGCCAGGGTGGTGACAGGCGTTGGCACTGGTGGTATGCTTACCTTCCGTACTTAGACCTCCTGGGAGAAGCTGATCCGGCTAGCATTAACTGGCATAGCACCAGTACTGGTGTCAGAGACATCAACAGCTGATCACCGTGGTGCCTTCCTAGGATATGTTTTCATTGCAAACTGTAGGTGTTGGACGTTCGATGAAAAAGCCCCAGAATATATACTAACGGAATTATGCTGAAGATCTAGGAATATCCGTCGCATACTGGCTCTCATTTGGTCTTGCTTTCATCAATAACGGCTATTCGGATATTCGCTGGCGCTTTCTGTTGGCGTTTCAGTGCGTTCCAGCCCTCATACTACTCTTTTTCATCAAGATGCTTCCGGATAGTCCGCGGTTCCTGGCATCTGTCGGTCGTTATGAGGAAGCTCAGCAGGTCCTTAACAAGATCCGTTGTCATAAATGCAGCCAATCAGAAATCGACCTTGAATACAAAGAAATAATTGCGACAGTGCAAGAGGGCAAACCAAGCTCGCCCCTTCAGTTCGCAAAAATTTTGATTGGAAAAGGAGGAAACCCCGGCTCCAACCTGGGGCGACGAGCCTGGCTGTGTATATGGCTCCAGATCATGGCATCTTGGACTGGAATTACGGTAAGCTGTTCAAATTATGAAATCGCAGAGATAGGCTGGCTGAGACACTGTCACGTCAACAGGCGGTTACGGCATACTCCCCTGTTCTGCTTGGACAAGCGGGTTACAGCGAGCTGACTCAAAACGGCCTTGCCGGAGGATTGAATACGATCGGTATTCTAGGCACTCTAATCAGTACGCAGATTGTAGATCGGATCGGACGGCGAAAATGTTTAATGCTTGGGTCTCTCGTCTTATTCACCGTTGAGCTGGTGGTAAGTGCCAAACCCTCGTATAACTTGTTTGGTTCCGATTCTAAGATGTTTCCTCTCCAGGCGGGGTCTGTTTATGAGGCGTCCCTTCATCAGCCAGATAAAGCTAGCCAGTTTGCACCTGCTGCTGTTGCAATGCTGTTCCTGTTCAACTTGGGATATGCCGCGACCTGGGGAACCGTCGCTTTCTTGATACCAACCGAGATATTTCCCTCCGATCTCCGGGCTCAAGGTAATGGCTTTGGTATTACCGGCTGGGCTATTGGTGTTGGAATGACCACATTGGTCAATCCGATTATGTTTGCAAGTATCGGGAGTCGCAGCTACTTCCTTCTTGCTGGATTGAACCTTTTGTGGGTTCCGACTATTTTCCTGTTCTATCCAGAAACTCGCAATCGGTCTCTTGAGTCCATTGACTACCTGTTCTCGACCTCAAGACCATTTTATTGGGACATGGAGAGGGCATTTCAGTTGTGCATGGATGGGAAGGTGGAGAAGCATGTCGATGAGCAGGCCATAAAAGTTGCGGGCCAGGATGAAGCCCAGCAGGAATTTCACGAAACCATTCAGCAGAGAGTGTAAAGTAAGGAGACCTGGTGGGGTGTGAAACAATTTCCGGATGATGTACTTGGAAGAGCTTCCTTCACAGCAGCTTAGCGGTATGAAGATTATCCATGGAGAATCAGAAAACATCCAGGTAACCGGATTCCGCGACCCGTAAACAACGCCGGGGTTGGAGATGGGTGGCCTTCTAGAGGTATTCAGAACGCAGGAGTGAGTGCTTTTGTCCATGCTGTGTAATGGCATGAGCCTTTCAACTGGTAATATGTGGGGCGGGTTGCAGGATTTCCCATTCCCATTGATATTTCAACTGTGGAAAGAACAGTGTGGCGCTTACGCAGTAGCTTGGGAATATGCTAACGTTATGGATTTGGAGTCCAAGTCAGTCCTCATCGGCTACGCGTAAATGTGTGATACTGGGTGGTGTTGAGCGTCATACCCAAACTTGTAAGTTAAATGGTGACTGCTCTATCACGGACAGTGATGTCCCTGCTGTGGATGCTTGGAGGCCTGGCTGTAATCAGTCATCAAACGGATATTCTATAAACCAGATTCTAATATGGAGGTTACCTTGACCACCCTTTTTTATGTGCGGCCAACACATTCAATTACCCAATATCAGGAGACGAATCTTGTAATGATGAATGCACGAGGAGGCAGGAGATAATTCACATGAGGAAGGCTGGAATGGCTCCCTGTGTCTCCCAAGGCAACTTTATTTTCGCGTCACAATTTTATGTGGGTGATATGCAGCAAGTTGCGAGAAATGACCAGCATTAAGATAGTGATAGCACCGGACAGTCCTACCACTCTTTATTGATTATGTATTCACTCTATATCGGTAGCTTTCTGATTGCGTACGAA